GTTTTCTAACTCCAGGTCTTTGCACATTTCATAATAATACTTTGTCTAGTCAAGCTTCCTTTTGAAATTTTCTTTTCAGTTTACTACCTCATTTCTTCCATTTGCTGTAGCATCGATATGTTGGGGAGCAAGTTTCAGAGTCTCTTCTGACATCCATTTTTGCCTTGTTTTTCTCTCCTATCTTTTCAATGGCCTTTGCCTCTGTCAGTATAATATTCTTGATGTCATCCCACATCCCACATTCTGGTCTTCGATCATTAGTGTAGTGTCTAATGCATCAAATCTGTTCTTGAGATGATCTCTAAACTCCAGGTGGGCACGTTCAAGATCATATTTACGCACTCATGGACTTGTTTTAATTTTCTTCAGCTTCAGACTTATATATGAGCAATTGATGGTCTGTTCCACAGTATGTCCCTAGCCTTGTTTTGATTGATGATATGAAGGTTTTCTACCATCTCTTTCCATAGATGTAGTCAATTTGATTTCTGTGTATTCCATCTGATGAAATCTATTTGTATAATTGTCTTCTATGTTGTTCAAAATGGTATTTGCAATGAAGAAGTCATTGGCCTTGCAAAATTGTATCATATGATATCTAGCATTATTTCTATCACCAAGGCCATGTTTTCCAACTAATGATCCTTCTTCTTTGTTTTCAACCATTGCATTCCAATTACCAGTAATTACCAATACATCTTGATTGCATGTTTAATCAATTGCAGACTGAAGAAATTGGTACAATTCTCTAGTTTCATCATCACTAGCTTTAGTGGTTGGTGTGTAAGTTTGAATAATTGTGGTGTTAAGTGGTCTTCCTTGTGGGTATATTGATATTATCCTATCCTAGGCAGCATTATACTTCAAGATAGAGCTTGAAATGTTCTTTCTGTTGATGAATGTGATGCCATTCCTCTTTAATTTGTAATTCCTGACATAATAAACCATTTGATTGTCAGATTCAGAATGGTCAATATGAGTCCATTTCAGCTCACTAATGCCTAGGATATCAATCTTTATGTGTTCCATTTCATTTTTCACAACTTCCAATTTTCCTACATTCTTACTTTGTACAACCCATGTACTGATGATTAATGGATTTTACAGTTGTGGCACTGTTGGTTAATGTGCTGGACTGCAAAGTCAACTTGAACCACAAGGTTGGCAGTTCAAATTCACCAGCCGCTCCTAGACAGGCTCCCTACACAAGGTCACTATGGGTCGGAACCAACTCAAAGGCACTTAACAACAACAACAACAACAGCTGTTTCTCCTCATTTTTAGCTGTGCCCCATCAGCAAACATAGAATCTGAAAGCTTTACTCCAATTGTGTTATCATAATCAACTCTACATTGAGGGGGAAGCTGTTCCCAGTCATATTTTGCATGCCTTCTAACCTAAGGGGTTCATCTTCCAGCACTACATCTGACAATAATCTAGTGCTATTTATAACATTTCAAAGGAGGGAACAGTCGCTGGAGAAGGATGTCATGCTGGGTAAGATGGAAGGTCGGAGAAGAAGAGGAAGACCCCCAGCGAGATGGATCAGCCAGGTGGCATCATTGATGGCGTCAAGTGTGGCAGCGGTAGTGAGGTTGGCCCAGGATCGGACATTGTTTTGTTCTACTGTGCATGGGGTCACTATGAGTCGGTTCCGACTCGATGGCACCTGACAACAACAACAATAAATCTGACAGTATTCCACTGCTATTCATAAGGTTTCCAATGGGTAAACATTCAGAAGTCATCTGCCTCTCCTTTTTTTCCAATCTTAGTCTGGAAGCTCAGCTGAACCCTTTCCACCATCGGTGACCCTGCTGGTATTTAAAAAACTGGTGGCATAGCTTCCAGCATCACAGCAGCACACAAGGTACCACAGTAGGACAAACTGACATTTTGTGGGAATAGGTCATTGGTCTTGCAAAATTCTATCATGCAACCCTGCATCATTTCTGTCACCAAGACTGTATTTTCCTGATACTGGTGCTTCTCTTTCCAACTTTTTGCATCCCAAATCACCAGTTATCAGTGCATCTTGATTGTATGTTTTATCTATTTCAGACTGCAGAAAATGGTAAAAACAAAACAAAACAAAAAACCCCCTCAATTTCTTCATTTTTATGGTATTAGCGATATATATTTGAATATAAGTGCATATATTTGAATATAAGTGGTCTTCCGTATAGTTACATGGATATTATCCTATCACTGACAGCATTGTACTTCAGGAGAGATATAAAATGTTCATTTTGTCCTTCCTGACTGTGTTGTAGTGAATTATTTTATGTCTCCTCTACCTATAGTATGTAACCAAACAACGTTTCTGCCTTGCTGGGTCTGGGTAAGAAAAGGTGGAAGGAGATACTGACACGATGACATGATTCAGCTGTGGATGTTATGTTAGCAGAGTTCATTGTAATTGTAGAAACTTGAAAACTTTAGCATGGGTTTAAAATGAGCCACCTCAGAAATAGGAGGCAGACTCCCACTACCATCAAAGAAGATCTGGAAGTGGAGCGCATCCTTTGGACCCTAATGTCTCAGTGTATTGAACCTCCTCAATCTTGGGACACACAGGAGGAGGAGGGGAAGAGGAGAGCAGCAGCAGCTGAACAAGAACTAGAGCAGGAGGCAAAGCGATGGGCTTCCCTGCCCACAGAACAAGTGAAGCTGAGTGACTTCGGGCAGGAAGCTTGCTTGTAGAGTCGGGTGTCTCCAAGCCCTTGAGTGTGTCAGCGGTGGGACTAGGTTTTCTGACCCACGGAACTAGAACCAAGTGCCTTCGGGCTGAGCCTGATAGTGGAGTAGTGTGTCCTATAGGTATTTATCATCCAGTGACTGAAACAACCGTGTCCTGAGCATTTCTGATCCTGAATTACAAGCTGTTAACTTCCCTAATAAACTCCATAACTGTGAGTACGGTGTCTGAGTTGTATGTGACCATTACAGTGGATTATTGAACCCAGATGAGAAGTAGAGAGTGTTGTGGGAAGGATTGTTTGTTGTCATATTTTTGCACTGGCATAGAAAACTATGTGATTGTCCAATTCAAAATGGCCAATACAGGTCCATTTCAATTCACTAATTAATACTTAGGGTATCTATCTTCTAGCATTAAATTTTATTTTTGACAACTTTCAATTTTCCTAGACTCATACTTCAAATACTTTATGTTTCAATTAAGGAGCTCTGGTAGTGTAGTGGTTATGAATCGGGCTGCAAACCACAAGGTCAGCAGTTCGAAACTACCAGCTGTTCCACAGAAGAAAGATGAGGCTTTCTGCTCCCTTAAAGATTTACAGCCTTGGAAACCTTGTACAGGGTCACTATGAGTCGGAACCGACTCCACGGCACATAACAACAACAACAAATGTTTCAATTACTAATAGATATTTGCAGTTTGTTCTCAGTTTGAGCGCCTCCCAACCTGATGTACTTATCTTCTGTCTGTAACTATATCAGACAATGTTCCACTGCTAGCCATAAGGCTTTCAGTGGGCAACATTTTCCAAAGTAGATCACCAGGCACTTCTACTTAATCTGTCTTCATCTGAAAGCGCTGCTGAAACTGAAACCTGTCCACCATGGGTGACCCTGCGGGTATTTGAAATTTTGGTGATATAATGTTCAGTATCAAAACAACACACAAGCCACTACAGTATAAAAGAATTTTCCATCTCACAACACTGCAAAATCAATTCTTCCTCTTTCCCATCTCTTTCTTGGTTTGGATCTCCTTGAACCTCACCTGGACAACTGCCATGGTCTCTAAGCAGGTCTGCACACCCCCAGCGAGGGTTTCTGCATAATTCTTAAAAGAGCTTCCACTTCTACCCCAAAAAGGAGCTCTAATTTGAAGGATAAATTATGTGATCAGTGTAGTTAAAAACACACCTTTCTTTACCAGTAAAGTGCATTCCATGAACTTTCTCTTCATGGCACTTAAATTACATGACAATCCTGTGAAGTTGAAAGGGACACATTTAATCTCTATTAAAACAAGTAACCAAGGCTTCAAGGGTTTCAGTTGTGAAACACTGAGAATAAGTAGAGGCAAACTTCCTTGTTTAGCAGTCTACTTGGTGCTTGGACCCAGAACAGTTTAAACAGGTACACTCTGACCCATAGACTGCCCTGTCACATTTGGTGCAAGCAACTAGATGAAAGAGGAATTACATAAACCAAAAAACTATTAGTGAATCCTGGTTATAACTTGGATTTTCTGAATCAAATATGGACAAAGTAAATGTCTCAGTTAACAAAAAACAGGGAAATCAGAGAAGATCAACAATTAATGCCTATTGTAAATACATGTGGTCTCCATGAGTATGGGCCAGCTGGAGCGCAGATAACAACCTTGTTGTATAGAACACATAGAAGGATTCCGATCCTTGTGATTACATACTGATGATTTTTTTCTTTGCTTTTTTTAACCTTATAAAACCAGCAAAACTCTATCCCCTGTAAGCTAAGAGTAGGAAGAGCCTTGATCATTTAACGACAGGCAAAAAGTACTTTGCCAGCTCTCCAGGGTAGCCCAGTAAGTTCTAAATGCAACTGCACACCAATAAATATTTACATTCTCACAGTCTGATGAGCTGCCCCAAAAGAAGACCACAGAATGTCAGGGCACCAGGTTTGGACACCCTGTGTACCTCCCCGTCACTGGTATGACAGAGACAGTCACAGGCAGAGAGCGGTACACTATGTCCTGAGAAGGCTGACTCTAAGCCACCGGCATATCTGACCTGACCACATATGAGGGATGGACACCTTCGGGCCAGCTGTGCACACAGCAGGCTGGGGTAAATCTTTTCCAGACAGGAGGCGCGAGAGCTGAAGGTAAGAGGGCAGAGGAGGACGAGGGCGCGATTCCCCGGAGGGAGGGGAGGGGGACGCGCATGCGCGCCGCGCTGGCTGGCCGGAAGAGCCTAGCAGCCGAACGGCTGCTGTGGGCGCCACACTCCTCGACGGCGGCGAGGAGAACGTTGGCCCCGAGATGCGGTCCCTGGACAGCACCGGTGCCACGGAGCTGCAAGAGCCCGGGCCGTCTCAGCTACTGCCGGACGATGTGCTCCCGGACCCACATGAGGAGCCGGCAGCTGCGGAGGTAGCTGGGGCGCCCGGCCCCGGCCGGTGCAGCCTCTGCAGGTCCCTGCCGTGCGGCTGGTGCTCCGAGCGGGGTGAGTGCGGGGATGGGGGCCAGGGACCACTGGGTGGGGGACCTCTGGGGAACGCCGGTGGAAAGCTGGGGTCCCTGCCGCTGTGGGCGGGCGCAGAGCGGACTGTGCACCTAATCTCTCCCTGCCTGGTGTTGGGAGGAGGGGGACCCTCGAATTGTCACCTGAGGGGCTGCAAGGCAGATGCCCTGTGCATCCCCTCACCGGCAAGGAGGCACAAGAAAGTTTCTGATTGTGTGGTGAACCTTTTTTGCATTCTAAGGCTGCGCCTATAATTAAAGTGTTGCGGGCAGGACCATGGAATCAGATTGCCGGGTCGGTTTGCCCTGCCCGAGGTCGGGGGTCAGCGACAGAGGCCATTCCGTGGCCACCAAGGTTGAGAGGAAGCTGATTGTGAAGACTGTTCTAGTAAACGGTGTTCCCAGAAGAAGAGGTTGGAGTATGTTTGTCCCACAGTCTTAAAACCTTGGGAAGACGGAGTTGAGTGGTACCACTGATTCTTAACCTTTTTGGAATATGAGGACTTTTTAGCAACTGATACAAACCAAGACAGAGGCGCAGTCTTGTGGTACGTTTTAAGGAATTCACGGATCCATCCCCCAAACCATCGATCCCGCATGGAAATCCTTTGGTATTGTTCGAGACCTCTCCATCAACAGTTGAGGAAAGTGAGGAGGGTTTTGTTTTCACCCAGTATGGCGTGGAGGGGGTTGTGAAGGGGTATTTGAAGGCTAAGCTTGAACAGCATTGTGGTTAGGATCCCAGCCATTCTACTGCCCACTAAAACTGCTTTAAACACTATGTGCAACAGCTTCCTGGGATACAGATCTGTCCTGTGAGAAGAGGGAATTAGGGAAATCTCTGGATCTCCTCCTATGTGCTTCCCCCAGTTTAGAGAGGCAAGCTAAGATGAGTCTTCTTCCATTTCTGTCCAAAAAGTGAGCAGAAATTGTCAGACTTCTGATCATTTATTCATGGGCTACCACCAATCAGAGCAAGGGGTCAACCCAAAGTGGGTTGACCCAGATGTGTGACGTTTGAAGAGGTTAGTTTCTCAGCATAGCCCCTCTGGCTGAATGCCATTATGGTAGAAATCTGAGTCAGCCCTTGCAACTAAACATTTCCCATTTGTAAACCAAAAAGGGATACTATACAGTCAGGCACCACATGGCAAATGACAAACTTATGTAAGTGATTGCACTTTAGAACATTGTGGGGTCTGCTAACTTCTAAGAATGTAGCTAACAGAAGAGTTTATAATATAGTTCTTTTAAAGTGATCAGGTCCCCAACAGAATTGCCATAGAAATCCTTTTCAACAATTGTACTGTTGTCATTGAACTTTGGGACAGTGTTGTTTTAGCCCCTTGATCCAATTGCTTATCATCTCAACAATGCTTATGTTCAAAGTCAGGTTGAAGATGTTTCCCCTATTTCTTGTTTTCTGGGATGTCCTTAACTGGCAGTGTACAACTGTCCTTAAGATACTTTCTTAAGGAACAATGTAGATCTTAGATTAAGCAAGAGCAAGAATTGGGTTTGGGGCCAGTGCCTCAGCCTCCCAAGTTCTCTAAAATAAGCAGTGGCTTACAAACTAGTAGAGCTTTTTTTTTTTCTTTTTCCTTTCCCTCTCAGGCTTTTTTAAAAAAAAAACAACAACAAAAAAAACACCCAAAACTTGTGGAGTTTGGGTGAAAGTTTACAGAACAAATTGATTTTCCACTCTACAGTTTAGACACATTTGATTTCATTACATTAGTTGTAATTTACTCAAATGCAATGACTGTCTCCTATTCCTGCCCTTTCCTTCCTTCTGAGCATGCTTTGGGGACAAATGCTGTCCTTTTGATTTCATGTGGTTAATTGTCCTGAGGAGTAAGGGTCCTCAGGGAGTGTTAGTGTTTACTTTATAGGCCTCTCTGTGTTTGGCTGAAAGATGACCCCCCAGGAGTGTGTTCAGTTCCAGGTTTGAAGGGCCAGTGAAGTTTTTTTTGTTTGTTTGTTTTTTACAGTGACAGAAATTCCATTTAATGTGCCTGATAGGGCTTGGGAATTGAATTTTTTAAAGTTGCTCAAGTGATTCTAATTCCCACAGGGTTATGAATCAACTAGTTTCAAAGCAGAGGATAGAAAAGGTAAGCACCATTTCAGTTTTCTTCTAGGTCAGGAAATTACACTGTGACCGCCTGTTTAATTTGAGTTGTTCAGAGTTGCCAAATTATTAGATATACTTGTAGTGGCATGTGAACATGGAAGCACATTCTCTAAGCAAGTACCACATAATTATTCTATTGTCTTGCTCATCTACATTGACATGGAGAATTGAAATATACTTATTCAGTAAAAGAGTGAGGATTGTCTAAGTAAAATCAGTCCTCACTCTCATTAATAAGCAGTCAAGATCAACTAGGCCTTTTAGCATCTAGCCCAGGGGTGGGGACCATCCAGGCTGAGGCCAGTAAAATCATTTGGTGTAGCCCTGCCAAGGCAACTGGAGTTCCAGCCATCACGCTGGTGTTCTTGTTGTTAAGTGCCATCAAGTCAGTTCTGACTCATAGCGACTCTGTGTAGGGTTTCCTTGGAGCCGCTGGTGAGTTTGAACCATCGACCTTGCAGTTCAAACCAACCTTGGAATCCAGTGCATTAACTCAGAGACACAAATATTTGACCAACTATGTTGTTGTTACGTGCCATGGAGTCAGTTCCGACTCATAGCGACCTTGTACAGCTATAGCAGGCTAATTTTTAAGTTGATGATTTTGTATGGCTCATGAATGATATTATAAATTTTGGCAGAAAAAAGGTTCCCACCCTTGACAGCCTGTCTCAGTTATAAGGCAAAGACCTTACATCTTTACAAGCAATAAAATAGATATTTTCAGGAAGAAGATAATCAGTGCCAAAGGTATAAAAGCAAGTTTTAAAAGGTTAAAGCATATAGTGTTAGGTGAAAATATTCTTAGAGGAAAATGAGCATGTTTAGACTGGAGAAGATCCTTGAAATACAGACCAGAGAGATGTTTTCTGTTCCTGATCTTCTCACCATTCTGTCTGAGGGTGCAGCTTCTTATATATGGGTTGGATTTCTTTCAGGAAAATCTGTTTTATTTGGACCTGAATTCCAAAATTTCAGAAGCTAAACTCTAAGGCTGACCACAGCAAAGACATGTATTTTGTGGTGTATAAATTGTTAGTCATTTGAAGCTTTCTTCTCCTGGGCTGAGATGGTATGTGTAGCTGGTTTATGCAGTATCTGAACACTCTGGTTTATAACAGAACGTGGGGATCCTGGGTACCTATGACAGATAAACTATCATATGGAGACTGCTAGCTCCACATCTGTCTCTTCAAATGTATCCCTAGAACTGGTGGAGGAGGAGATCTCTGCAAAGACTGGGCTGTAGAATGTCCTGGAAACACTGTATTGTCATATTTTCATGATTTGCAAAGTATCACATGTGGGCAAAAGGTATCCAGCTATTGTGATTATGTTGAAATGTACTAGGAGGTGTTTGCATTTATCCAAAAAGGACATTTTTTAAGAAACTTACTATGCTGTACTGTTCCCAACTTGATCACAGTGTATTTAGTTTGCCTTTTTTGTTTGTTTCTGTTCTATAGCTGAGTAACATACTGTAAATTCCTAGGTAGGTACAGTAATCCTGCCTTACTGCATACACACCACACACCCACACCATTCTTCAGCTCCACTCGTGCCCTTAACTGATGAGGGCCAGTTGTATTGCCTTTTTTCTTTTCTTCTTGTTTTTGTGTTAGTTTCCAAGAAGGTTAAACAGATACGTATTTCTCAGTGCGTGGTCTCTCTTTTAGGGAGTTGTTTGCTTTCCCTCTTCTTTGTATGATAATGGAGTAAGATTAGTAAAGCGTTTTACTCCTCCTATCATAGGAAACTAAGACATAAGAAGGCTAGTGACTAAAACAGAGTTTAAAGCTCACATAAATGGTCATTAATGGGTTGGATACTTGAGACCCTAGAGAAGAGAGTCTCTTGGTTCAGATCAAGCCAAAAAAGAAACCAGTTACCATCCTGTAAATTTTTATTTCTACCTAACCCCGTGTGTGTCAAAGTAGACTGTAGCCTTTCAGGAGTAGATCACCAGGCCTTTCTTCCAAGGAGCCTGTACCTATGAGGGTGAGTCAAAATTTATCCGCACTCTGGTTCTACTACAACTTCTGCTGGCTGCACTGTCTTATCAGCGCTCTCCGTTCAAGGCCACTGCTGTGCAGGTGTGAACGTGGACATCTGCAAACAAAATTTGAACTGATAACTTGAAGGAAGGTAAAAGTTTCTTAAAAAAAAAAAAAACATTATTGGTGACCAGACATGAATTAATCACTAGGAGCCTGAGAGTAAATGGCAGCGTAAGTAATAGAAACATCCTCAATTGCTCACCAAGAAAAAGTTCAAAAGTCAACCATAGCTGGAAAATTGATGCATACAGTTTTCTCGGTCTCAAGGGCCAGTACTGGAACACACTATCAGGAAAAAAAAGGTTTAACAATAAACAGTGTTCATTATAGTGAGGTCTTCACTGAAGAGCTGAAGCCTAAACTTCAGATTAAACTCAGAGGACTGCTATCCAAGGGTGTGGTGATCTTGCATGACAATGCATGGCTGCACACGTCTGGCCACACTGTTGACACTCTGCAAAAACTTCATTTTGAGGTGTTAAAGCATCCTCCCTGTAAACCTGATCTTGCTTCATTGGACTTTCACCTGTTTGGTCCCCTGAAAACAGCCCTTCAAAGACAAAGATTCACCTCTGATGAAGAAGTAAAGACAGCAGTGCATTCATGGTTCCCAGCTCAGCCTAAAACATTTTTTAATAAGGGAATATGAAAGCTTGTTGACAGATGGACAAAGTATATTGAGAAAAAAAGGAGATTATGTAAAAAAATTGATGTATTTATCTTTTTAAAAAGTTGATTAAAATGCATTCTACAGCCAGAGTGTGGATAATTTTTGACTCACCCTCAGATTCAAACTGCCAACCTTTCTGTTAGTAGCCGCCGAGCATTTGTGCCACCCATGGACATACCAGATCAAGCCAAGAAGTAGATACTAGATGCCAGTTTTGTGCTAATCACCTTGGAGTCAAGGGAGTGAAGACCAGGCCCCTGCCCTGGAAGAGTTTATTCCCTAAGTGGGGAAATAAGTCTCAAACCATGGAAAGTTAAAGAAGGATTTGATTAACAGGTCAAAATAAGAACGTGCAGAACATAATCATGGATTATGTGGTTTCCAGTATTATTAAGAGTCTGAATCTTCTCAAGAAGATTCTCATATTCAGCAAATATTTATTAAGGGTCGGCTACAAGCCAAACATAAGTAAGACCATTGAAGTCCCAGCCCTGGGGGAACTCACAACCTGTAGGGGAAGTCAAGTCAGCAAATAACACAGTTTCAAACTGTTTTTCCAGAAAAGAAATTCGGCATTCAAGCCAAATTCACCACTGAGGTGGTATAAAATATTATCATTGGGAAGCATTTTCACATGTCATCTTGACAAGCTTCTTAAGTATCACTCTTGCTCTCTTGGCAAGTTTTCTACTTCTTGAAGAAGGGCTTTAAAAAGTTTGTGGAAATATTCCATTATCTTCTTGTTCTATTTTTCCACAAAATTTTTGAAGCCCTCCTCATATAAATAAGGGATGATCCTTCTATGAGCCAAAGAAAATCCGTGTTATAGGGCCAAACTACCACTTATGGTCCTTTGTAATTGTTGGTGGAAATAGTATAGGTCAAGAATGGGTATGTTTCAAAGGTAGCATTTGTAGACTCTTAGCCATTAGTACTGTTCCGTTTTTCCCTCCATTTTTAAGTGACAGTGATAACACGTATACTTGAGAGCAAGAACTAACCAGAATTTATCTTTTTCAGAAGCCAAGAAGAAAGCACCCTGTCCTGGACTTGGCTTGTTTTACACATTGCTGTCTGCCTTCCTTTTCTCAGTGGGCTCTATGTTTGTTAAAAAAGTACAAGACATCCATGCTGTAGAAATTAGTGCGTTTCGATGCGTGTTCCAAATGCTAGTCATTATCCCTTGCTTAATATACAGAAAGTAAGTATTTCTTAATGGCAAAGGAGAAGATGTTAATACTAAGTGTTTATAGTTCTTTTGTTCCACAGTGTCTGCTTTATTTTGCTCATAGACATCCCAGTTCTTAGACCTCTTGACTCTGATTAGCAAAAAGTCACCAGGATCCACCAACAGAAGGTGGTCTCACAAGCACAAACCCGTGCCCAACAAAGGGGGAGAAAAAATTAACCACCCTTTATTTTGAAGACAGTGCTTTGCTTTTGTCCTGCCCTCCATCTTGTACCACACCCCCTTTTTTTCCCTTGGCATAACTAATATTTGGAGGAAACTCAGTAAGTGAAGGGAAGTAGTAGTGTCTCTGAGTGTCAGTGGTTTCTGTAGAAGTGCAAGCTGGTCTCTTAGCAAAGCAGTAACAGCATTCAGGTCATCGCAAGAGGGTGATGTGAGGAAGGAAGAGGTCATCTTAAGAAGGCCTTTGGAGCTGCTTTGATATTCCATTTCCTCACCTAAACTAGAGAGAATTAGACTTCTCTACCCTGCAACGTTGTTGCAGTGGTCAAATAACGATGAATTATATGTGAAATGATTTAGTGTAGAATGTAAAGATATATGAAATACTCCTTGGTCCTCACTGCATTCTCCCCACCCAATCCCTCTGTCCCTTTCATATGAACTCCCACCCTTCCAGGGTAAAATGACACCTCCCACACAATACAGATAACCTTTTCACACACACAGTATTTAGAACGCTGGGAAAAGGGACCAGCTGCGTCCCTAGTCTGTGTGGTTCTTTTCTTTGGGCAAAGATGCTGACACCCCAAATTAGAAGCTAGAAAGAGAATTAGAAAAGCAAATATTCCTTTTCAGTCACTCACCACTGAATCTCTTTTTGTCTCATCATGTGGTATCGATTCACTTAGAACAGCCTTACTCTGTAGCCTAAGGATTTGGTGGAAAAGGTGAAAGTCTGCTAAGATTAAATATGATCAGGTAGACAAGTCACACTAAAAAGGATGACAAGGCTTGAGAAATTTCTTATGGTGGCAGCAGAACTGATGCTAACTGACAGAATCTTTGTGTTAGAAGAAAATAGTATTGTTAAGGGAGTGACCTATTTTATTTCACTGTATCATCTAAGAACATTAGCCCCTAAGTAGGTGCCAACCAAGACCATGCTTACATTTGTAACTCCAGATACCTGGGGGTTTCCATGGCAGGTGTAGATGCTTCCCTAATCAGTGAATTGCACAAAGCCAGGAATTAATACAGAATTGATTTGTAGTAAATATTTCATTGAAAAATAAAATACAGTAGCATTATTTATACTCCTCCAAACACTGCATGTTCTTTTTCAGTGTATTTTAACTCATTTTTCATGATTTTTGTTAAGTGTTGTTGAGTCATTTCTGACTCATAGCAACCCTGTACAGAGTTTCTGAGGAGCAGCTGGTGGGTTTGAACCTCTGAGCTTCTGGTTTGAAGCCTAGTGCTTACCCTATAGTGCCACACCAGGAGTCTCTTTTCTCATTATTCCAGTGAAAAATTGTCTCACATTCAGTAACTAAAATAAATTGTACCATGGCTTCAGCATTCATAGATTGGGAGGACCAACTAGATGGGACCAAGTTGCCTTACACAAGGCAACTAAATCTTAAAATTTCACTTAGTATTTTTTAAAAAGAGCACATTTTCATTGTAGAAATGTAGAAGGAAAACTGTCTGTGTTGCTACCTATGAGATATAATCATTACTAATTGTTCAGCTTATTTTCCTTTAGTCATTTCTGCAAGCCTATGCACGTACGTATGTGCATATGTACGCATGTACGTATGTATGCACATATATATGTACGTATGCATGTATGTATGGTGTAGCACTGTAGGAAAAGCACTCGACCTGAAAGTTTATTTCAACCACAAGATGGCAGTTCAAATCCACCAGTTGCTCCTCAGAAATCCTATATAGAGTCTCTATGAGTCAGAACTGACTCGACGGAACTTAACAACAAATGTATGACTTTGTGGGAGAAACAGCTAGAAAGCTGCTTCTATAAAGATTGTAGCCAAGAAAACCATGTGGACAAATTATACTCTGTCTTATAGGGTTATAGTAAGCTGGCATTGGCTCAGTGGTACCTAACAACATCAGCAGTGTGTATACATCATAAATATGAGGGTGCTTTACAAAGTCCTTGAAATAAATAAATTTTAAGATAATGGAATCTTTACATGAACTTTTGAAGCCTCCTGGTATATGGGGAAAATGATACCTATATTTACTGAATCATAATGATATAGTATTGATACAATTCTCTGTTGTACTATTTGTACGTATACTGTGAACACTTTCATGTCAGTAGCTGTACTTAGAAAACATTAATTTTAAAAGGTGTATGGTGGATATTACCATAATTTATCATTCCTTTATTTTTTATAGTTAGGATTTTAAAAATTATTTTCAATTAATGTAATGTAAAGATAATTACCAAGTTTATTTAATATGCATTTCTTCATTTCAATTTACAGAACTGGGTTTATAGGCCCCAAAGGTCAACGAATGTTCCTCATTCTGAGAGGAACCCTTGGTTCTGCTGCCATGATCCTTTTATACTATGCTTTCCAGGCAACATCCCTCGCAGATGCCACTGTTATCACGTTTAGCAGTCCAGTGTTTACATCTCTATTTGCTTGGATATTTCTCAAAGAAAAATACAGCCTTTGGGATGCGCTCTTCACCCTATTCACAATTACTGGAGTGATCCTTATTGTACGACCACCATTTTTATTTGGTTCCAACCCTGAGAGGATGGAAGGAAGCTATTCAGTCCACCTTAAGGGAACATTCGCAGCAATTGGACATGCTGTACTTGCTGCATTGACTTTAGTTATCCTAAAGAAAATGGGCAAATCTGTGGACTACTTTTTGAGCATCTGGTATTATGTAATACTTGGCCTCGTGGAATGTGTCATCATCCTCTCTATATTAGGAGAATGGAGTCTGCCTTTCTGTGGATTAGACAGGCTATTTCTCATACTCATTGGGCTGTTTGGTTTGGGGGGTCAAGTATTTCTCACAAAAGCAATTCAAATTGAAAAAGCAGGGCTAGTAGCAATAATGAAAACTATGGATGTGGTGTTTGCTTTTATCTTTCAGATTATTTTCTTTAACGATGTGCCAACATGGTGGACAGTGGGCGGGGCACTCTGTGTAGTAGCCAGTAGTATTGGCGCAGCCATTCGTAAATGGTGCCAGAGTTCCAAGTGAAGCATAATTGTTGGCATACATTTGGTCAAGCACACCGTCATCATGTTGAAACACGCCACACATACCTCTGCAAAACATGCATTTACTTCATTGGTTATATTTAATAAATTTTATAATAAAAGTACCATTTTTTAATATGGTACCTCTTTAATTAAGAATAGCCAGTCCATTTGGACTAGCAGATTTTATTTTGTATAACTCTGGTTTGGGTTTGTTGATGGGGTGGCATTGATCAAAGGAGAGCTCATCATTTAAGGGAAAAAACTGCAAAAATATTTTATGATTCATATATAACTATATGAAGTATTTTTTATGCATAGTGTATTTTTGGTACTGATGAGATATGAGTGGGAGGAAATTTTAGATGCTCTTTTAGCAGTGAAATTCACTGATAATAATGCTGCTGTAATTAGTATTATGTTGATTAATTTCCAATATAATTCTGTTTAGGAGGCCAAAGTGGAAACTGAGAATAACTGTCTATTTAATATTTTAATGATAAAAGTGAATTCACCCGATTTTCAAGAGTTTTATAAGTGATTATCATTTTCTTAATTCATATGTGTGCCTTTTCATTTTAATGCTGGAATTTTTATATGCAACTTTATAAAAGCCTATAAATTGCCAACATTGGCAAATGGTTTCGTTTCAGTGACATTAATAACTGTAGTCATCATTCTATAATTTTTAATTGTCCTCTGTGTTTTTGAAACTGCATTAAATTTTTCTTAACATTCAAAGATTTTGGGTTTTAAAATAGCAAGAGAAACATTGGCATGGTCACGTGTGCATTTACATCCTAAAGTGTTTTCTCCTTAATAGAAATATAGTTTTCTATGAATTCATTTTGAATTTATAGTATGATGCCAAATAAAAATTTCTCAGGCTTTTATTAGGATTAGCCATATGAAATTGCCAACATTTGACTATTTTTAAGTGATCAAAACTCCAGTTTCATATGGTTCACCCTAATAGATACCTCTCTTATATTCTAGACCAAATACATACAGGATTTTGAAATATATGTCTATATGTATATTTATATGTAACTTTTTAATCCATGATAATGCTGTTAAATATATTTTTATAGTCTTTTTTCCCTTATAGAATGGTATGTGAAAATGCTTCCTGTTATATGTTAGATGTAAAAGCCTGTGAATCCGTGGTTGAATGACTTGTAATTTCTTAAATAGGGAGAAATAAGTCACTGTTCAATTCTAGTACACCAGTGTGATGTTCAATGTCAATGCTGCACTGTGATACTAACATCATGAATTCAAACAGCATGTTTTCTATGTGGAACTTCTTCAGGCTGATAGTCAGCAGCAGAGAGGAGCATTATGTCCAGAAAAAGCTAGGTGGTTCATCAGGAAGTGGGGAGTACATATAAATGATTCTTTCCTTTGTCACAATGAAGCCTTTGTTGGTGAAGCTATCATGACCTCCAACTTTCATTGTGACAGGCATAGCATCTGTTACTGTTTTAAGCCTCTAAAGCTGAGAGATGATAGGCTCTTCCCCACCTTTTCATCACAGTCCTCCCAAAGTAAGGAGAAATTTGACTTCCAGAATTTTTGCCTTGGTGAAAATGGAGCATTTCCAGTAGTTCCAAAGAAGGAGTTTTTGACTTGTTATGCTTCTGAAACCCTTCCCAGCTCTTTAGGGGTATTATTTTTATCATTGTAACTTTAGCCTAACCTATGGTACTAGAATTTAGAGTCACAAAAGGATTGTTTTGCAATAATTGCAATTTTGGATAATTATAGAATTGAAGCATTTTCGAGGTCAAAGTTCTCTCTCAGAACCCTTGTGGGAGCCACACTCCACAGATAGATCCTAGAGAGGAGGCATGCCCAAATGGGTTTCCACACCTTCTCCCTCTCCTAGTCCCTTGATAAAGTATGGAAATTAAATGACTACTTGAGCTACCTAAGGTTACTTCTCAGGGAACCGTCTCCCAGTCCTTTACCTTGCACAATAAAAGTGCCTCTGGGTCCTTGAAAGTTCAGTTCCTTTGGTCCTGTATGCTAGCTACATGCTTTATTTCAACAGGATGGTTTAAATACTTGAATATCACAATATATGACCATGTTTGGAGAAACTGTTTCTTTTCCCTACTTTTGCAGTATGTGATTCTTAAACACTTTTATTATGTCCAAGGTGTGTGTATATGGATGTATTATAATAATTTAGGGTGTTGATACTTTGCAAAGATTATAGTTTAACTTGGAAAATAATTTCAAAAATCGTTTTTATTTTATAAACACTAATAAATTAATATAAAAAGCTGTGTTTGGGTTTTTATGATGAATATAGCAAATGTTGAATCTAATATAACTTACTTCCTTTCTCATCAATGGATTTCAAAATCTATTTTCCATTGGAGATTGACCTCCTAACCATTTAGCTGTGATGCTGTTTCAAGTTTTAAATTGCTTCTAATTTGAATTGCTTCACTTAGAATCCAACACATATCTAAACAAATGCACTACTCTTTTGTTCCAGTGAGGCCTTCATTCTTCTAGACCTCTAGAATGTGGAGCAGCTTTGTGTTCTGTATCCTCCCCACAATTGATCTGTTACAAAGTCCTGCAATGTCATCTTATTGTCTTGTGGATTCACTCTCTCCTTGCCATTTCCACTGCTAACCCTTTTTAGTCCCAAGATTTATCACCTCACACCGAAATTGCCATGACAGTATCCTAATTGGGTTATATGTTTCTGGATTCTTTCTTCCACCCTGATCCCTGCCCCGGTGTCAGACTAATCTTTCCAAAATTCTGCTTTGTACTCTGGTTCTCATGTATCCACAATGATGCCTTATTACACACCACTTCACATCCAAATTACTCATGATCTGCTCCTATTCTTATTTGCTACCCTGATTTCCCATGCCCTTACACAAATTCAATACTCGAATTCATCTTCCCATAAACTCCCACATTTGCCAAGGAAATCCCTCCCTCCGTTTCCCTTCTTTTCTTTAAATGCCTTCTTTTCTTTGCACTCTAAAGCTTCTTAGCCTCCAGTGGTTCAGCTTGAGGTTTTCTTTCATCCATGATAGCTCATATGTCTCCCACCCACACTAACCAACCTTGGAAGAGTAGTTAGAGCACAGACTTAGGAGCCTGGAGATCTGAGTGTGTTTTTATCACTTTGCAGCTGGGCAAGCCACTTAATTTATCTGGGATCATTTTCCTTGTTAAATAGAGTATTACCTACCCAACCCAATGGACAAAAAATGGGTTATAAACAAGCAGGACTTATAAAGGAGGATAAAAGAGTGTTGAGTTGTGGTTAAAATTCTAGAGTTGAGCATTCACTCTACTCTCCAAAATGCTGCTTACCCCAGGGTCATTACTCCGAGCAGATGTACCAAAATGTAAATCCCACTTGGTCCCATCCTGAGAGCACAGTATTCTGGCAGACTCCTCTCCTTTCCTTGCTAACCTCCTTCAAGATATTCATGGAAAAGAGGAATTTCCCCATGAATGTTGTGAAGCATCTGCATATAGGACTGCCAATCCTTTTTTGGGCTGCATTGGTCCTTTCATGGTCGGCATAGATGTTGCCGTTTTCCAATTCTAGTTCTGGTCTTCAGGGCATTGCACTTCCATCTGACCGTAGAAATGAGTCTGATTTTCTGTGTGTTTCTGAAACACAATTTCCTCTACTTAGCTTTACTCTTCTAGCCTCTTTATCTGTTCACCCAATAAGCATGGTGGCACCCTGTCCTCTGATCTCGGTATGGAGCCCACAGTCAGTAGTAGGCATTTGAATTTGGTTATTAAGGTATAGGTTAGGCATGTGAAGACTGAGCACTACCCTAAGGATATCATCATATGGCTCCTTGGTTTCTTGCATCAGATCTAATTTAGCCACCACGTTCACCTAGAATTCTGCAAGATGCCCCAAGAAAGATCCATTTCAAGTTTTAGTTAACTTGAACACTAGGTTTGGAACTGGATTTGGAAATCCAATTCACAGCCCAGGAATCTTGGTATTGCCCCTCTGGAAATTTGGGGCTGGACATTTATAGCAGGAAAGTAAGGAGCAGACATCTGGTGTCAAGCAGGGAAGGAAATGATTGCATCAGAGAAGTCCAGTCCACAGGAAATGGGGGAAGAGCCTGGGTCTTTTATTTCTTTCACTAAATGTTGTGATCTTGGAACCATAATCCAAAATTAAACCCAGCTAACCTAATTGTTGAAGGAGCTCTGGTAGTGTAGTGGTTACGAATCGGGCTATGAACTGCAAGGTCTACAGTTTGAAACTACCAGCTGCTCCACGGGAGAAAGATGAGACGTTCTGTTCCTGTGGAGAAAGATGAGACTTCCTGTTCCTGTAAAGATTTACAGCCTCGTAAACCCTGTACAGGGTCACTATGAGTCGGAACCGACTCCACAGCACACAGCCACCACAGCCTAATTGTTGAGTGAAGGAAATAACCTAGATTTGCAATTAGTTGCCAGGCAGGGATCAGGAAAGCACAGATCCACATTTGAGTGGAGGAAGAGTTGGGTGTGGTGCAGTGGGCTAATGCTCTGGACTGCAAGGTCGGTTTGAACCGCAGGATTGGTGGTTGAGGCTCCCAGCCACTCAGAAACCCTGTACAGGGGTCGCTATGGGTCAGAACCGACGCAAAAGCACTTAATAATAACAAGAGTTGGGTAGCAGAGAATGAGTTCAGGTCGAGAGAACAGCATCAAAGTACTACGCCAAGGTCAGGAACAGCGTGGTGCCGCAGAAGTAGAGTGGAAGAAGAGGTATTACAGCCATAAGGCCATATTAAATGTCTGGCCATTTTTACAGGTTTTCTTAATATACTTGACCATGACTTGAAGGTTAAACTTCATCAGGGAGATCAGGGAGATGGCAGCTAACAAAACTACATTTGGGACTTTATATTATAGCAGGTTTGGCCATGTTCATATTAGAATTGAATTCAAAGTAGAAAGTTCTAACTCAGAAAAAGGAATACTTTATGATAAAATTTGTGCCACCACCACCCCCCCAAAATGATACCAACCATTGCTTCCA